CACACACACACACACACACACACACACACACACACACACACACACACACACACACACGCACTGATGCGTACTGACCATGCCTTAGCCCTCAGCTCTGGAGTTTCTCGGAGGCTAATAAAACACATGAGTGAGCTGCACTAACATGAGAGGAGGCACGATCCGCATAGGGATATGTGTTGGGTTATATGCTTATACAATTTAGTTAAGCTAAGAAAAAAAAACTTTAAAAGCCCTCCTTTTCACAAAAAACCCACACGCTTTCAAGTGCACACACTTTAGGCAACCCTTGAGGTGATTTTTTTTCTGTCTCTGTGTGTCCTGGGCTTCACGCCACATCCAAAACATACTGCAGCTTTTTAGAACTGGGTCACAAAACCAGACTCTTAACTCAACCTCACCACACACATTCATTTAATGTACTTTTTTTTAGTCCATATCTGATGAGTTTCGTGTGTGACAGGAGTTAAATTATCATACTTGTGTACGGAAGTAAAAGCTCTGATGAAGTTGTTCAGATCCTGAAGAATGACAAGTAGGAATTATTGATTCATGCCACATGATTAAACAGGCTTSTTGTCATACATGTGTTCTGCAACTGCTTCCACAGAGGTTTCTCTCGAACCACAAAACAGATGGCTCCACAAGACTCACTGAGTTGTAAAAAGCCACTGCTCTGTCATTATCATTCCGGTAAAGCTGCCACTACTCCTCAGTTCCATGGTCTGAACTGAGATAGGAGGTCAAAGGCTTGCGGGAATCCCCAAGGAACTTGAAAGCTTGAGCAAAGGAACACATACTCCCACTGAGACACCTCCAACTTGACACTCTCTAGGAAATATGGGATTCGGTAACAAATAAAGCATTCTGCTGTCTTGCCCTTTGCATCCTCGTTTCCCGCTCTTACCTTCCACATGATTAAAATCCCATCATCCACAAACAAAGTGAGAAAGAGAGGAAGAGGGAGAGGTGTGGAGGAAGACCGGCAGCTATCTTTAGCCCTCTCTCTCCTCAGCAGGATGCAGGAAAAAGCAGCAGGGGAGGCTTAAACGGCAGCGAGGAGCAATCTCAGGAGTCGGAGAGGATGTGAATACGTCTCCGTGGCTGTGTCATCACCTCTCCTGACACGTTTCCTCCTCTGCCCGGGTAAGCCTTTCTGTCCTGACCCAGCAGAGAGAGAGAGACACACAGGACAAACTAGTGCACCGCCCCCTCACTATTTCCCCCCCCGTTCTGCCCCCCTTTCTGTTCATTCCTTCCTCTCTGTTTCACTGTATTTAAATCTGCCAGCAAGCTGCCCTGCCTTTAAGTAGACCAATCACTGGACTGCCGAGAGGTGGAGTCTGAACTGGTTATGCATGTCTGTGTGGTCATAACCTAATCTGCTGCACAGACTGACATTGTGTGAGGAAGTGCACATGTGTACTTGTCCTTGTTGATACTTTGGCTTTCATGCAAACTCATGCAGATGGTGAGTATCGCAGTGAAATATCCCAAGAAGCGGTGCAATCTTTTGATTTGATGTAGATTATACATTTTTGCTGCATTTATTCATTTTACTCCAAGATTTCGTAAAGGTCTCTTCACTCACACCGATGGTCCTGGGTAACAAAGTTAATGTGTTTGACTTGGCACCATTTATAGAAGAACGCATTGCATATTTTATTAAAACAAAACACAGTTATCCACTCTGGGTTAGAAATAAACCACTGCCTCAGGTGAAGGGATTTGAGTATCTCATGCCCTTGTTCA